TCATATCTAAAGTGAAATCAGTCCAGGTAATAGAAGACGACCAGCTCACAGAAAGCGAGCGGTGGGCCGAAATCAGCGATGAAAGCTGGGACGAGGCGTCTATTCCCAGTGACGAAGACCAGTGGGCCACCGACAGTGAAGGAGAACCCATGACCGATGATCCCAAGGGACCTTCGCGACGTACGTACTCTGAAGTCCTGAAAAATGGGTAATGTCTGTTTAAATATTAGGTACAATCGTGGAAGTACTAGTAGCCTCCTGTAGATAGCGACGGGGGCAACGCGTCTGCACCTTCCCCACAGGTTAACTCGATATCATCACTCAGTGTAAGCTCGACCACTGAACCGTTCACAAAAACATCCCAGTCGAGGTAGCAGTTCGATTTGTATGGCGTTCCGTTAACGGTGACATTCTATCAGCATTACGAGTCAGCGGCTTAGAGGAGTGCAGACGTCGAGTCAGCCGAACTTACCTGGACAAAGACCGTGCCTCCAGTGCCATCGTGCGGGTTCCCAACAAAGTTCAACACCTTAACAGTCGTCGTCGAGTTAAACACCGGATTGTATATAGAAACTTCTGGGAAAAATGGGGATGATAGGAGGTATTGCCTCGTCGCAGTGATTGGGTACAGGCCTAGCAAGAAAAATGCGGCCCAACTTGCCATCGCACCTTAAAGCGCAAATTTTGATTTAGGAGAGGTGCAAAAAAGGACAAAACTTCTTGCTCACCCGAGTCTGCGGCAAAGTGACGCTATGGTCAATCGCTATCGGAAGTCAGTCAAAGTAGCATTTGCGCACCATCGTTCCCAGGTAAGCCGTTCACAGTCGTGTTGAAAGACTGGGCGATGACCTGCCGAGAACGTTGCGTGCTAAGACCGGGACGGTTGGCGTAGTGGTACATGTACGGTATTTCCATTGAAGGCTCGTCTGTCACGTCAAAATAATCCTGCGGACATTTAGGATGTTGTAACGTGAGGATAAGGAGAAATACCTCATTAAATATGAAATCGAGTCGTTTAATGAACGCTTCCCGTCCTCCTTGCATGTCCACCAGCTTGGCTGTATCATGTGGTACGTACTAGCCGAGCGATGCTGAGGCGAAAGCAGAGACAATGTCACGATCAGTACGACTTACTTGAGAGTACTAGACGCAGTTAGTGGGCGATTATTGTGTGATTTTTCCGAGACAAATGGACTAACGCACCACGATGGGAGAGGATTCGTAAAATCCGTCACGATCTATTGCGTTCAGATAGCATGTCGCATGTTCCGGGTCATGTACGCTGCAATGACGTGGATCCGTGTAGTTGAAAGTACCGTTTGCAAAGCGAGGCTAGGTATGAATTTGCTTTAGCCGGTGACTAGGCTGTAAGGGATGGGCACAACCTGCATCATACCCGGTGCAATTTCTGGGGCACCTGGAATGGTTACGTTCGGATTCCAGACGTTGAAAAAATTGCCCGCGCGTCTCATGTACTGGTTCAGAACGGTCAGCTTTCAAATATCCGTGCGGACTTGAGACACAATACCTTTTCATAATCATCCGTCAGATTGAGGATCTTGGCCACTTGGCCGATACTAAAGTCGTCGAAAGCGTACTAATAAAGTAAATATCTCTCACCTCCGTGGAGTCGGTGTGCCTTACCTCCAAAGTCCGAGATACCTGCCTGGTGTTTGCGCCGCCAGGAGAGAACATATCTTGTGCCACATAGTCTACAAAAGTAATGAGCAGTAGAATCAAGAGAAGAAATGTCTGGCTTACTGAGTTTCTTCCACACGTCCGCTTGGCGACCATGAAGGTTCCAGTTCGGGGGCTGAACTTCTGCGTCTGCAAGTAAAGCGCCATACAGAGCCTCCGAGGAGACATTTAACTCAGCAGCCTTGTCGTGGAATCTGCATATCCTGTCAGTGAACCTGGGTTTTCAATAAGGCGCCGGAAACTCGCTTCACGAAGAATTCCCCCAAAATAGGATCCCCATCTTATTGGAACGGTAAACACCAAATGGCGGAGTATTGTCAGCGGAAATTCTTACTGCTGCCACCCTGGACGAACTGCATGGTGGTCGCGCCGCGGCACTCTGGAAGCCATCCTGCAAAGAAACGTGTAACTATGGGACCAGCTCCGACAGAAATACTGGGATACCTTCGTGTTCCTGGATGTTGATCATTCCACGAACAATTCGCGAGAAGGAGACTGGATCGTGGAGAGACATGAGAGAATACAATGTGCGGTAGGTGTCCCACTTCAACAAGGATGCTATCAATGCGGGTACAACGCGGACGCAAACCAAGCAAGCACCACTAACGTTGCAATAGAAGGAATCATAATACGGTTCGCTCGACACCCATAACGGGTTTTCTCCGGTATCTAATTGGAAGTCAGTTATAATAGTACAACATACATCCAGACGTACAGTCAGCTGGAGTTATATGAGTCCGGTAAATCTGTCGAAAACGTCATAGTTCTCCCATAACATGCAAACAAGCAGAGGCAAAGAACTTACCGACGAGTAAAACAACTGAACAATTTCGTTGGATACATTAGTAGTGTCGACTTGGAACCTCGTCAAAATGTCGTTCCACTGAGACCTGCTAGCTGCGTGAACGCTGTCGAAATCGAAATCTGGAATCTCGTCGACCCCATTGCTACACGCCTGCTCTGCCGATATAAAAGAAACGCCGACACGGACAAGAATAACAGGTTCGTTATCCGCAGGAGGACCCCAGCTTAAGAGGGCTCCCAGCTCATTATCAAAGTCTGTGCAACCATTGACACAACTGGTGTAGGCAGGTGCTGTAGTGTGTATGCTCACCGAAAAACAGTTGCGTGACATTCGCCGTCCCCTCCGTCGGATTATCGTCGATATACATGCCGTATTCCGTGGGCGAACCCAGGTCATATCCATCTCCACGGAAATCTGCACACACGAAAGTACGATACCTCCCTTGTCCGAATGACGATGCGAACTGAGCCCCGCCAGAAATACGGCCGGTATCCGGATCCAGGGCAAGCACTGGATCCGTACTGCTTTGTTGGCCATCGTTGGTGAGGTCGAGAAGAATGCGAATCGCGGTTGAGTCGCTCGGGAACGTATAACGATGTAGTGCGGCATGGCTTGTCGACGTGAGTTCTACACGAACTCCATTTGACTGTGGCATTTTCTTGAGCGAAGATCAGTTGAAACAGATTACCCATTATTCACCAAGTTGCTTGAGAAATATCCGGGAGAGGCATAATCATCGGGTCGACCTTATACCAGTGAACTTGGCAAACAGACAGGTCAGCTCCTGACGTACCGTCATATAAGATATTCCTTAGCAATTTCCGATCATCAATAGCCGTCGCGCAATATCTGAACTCAGTGCAGTTGGTCACTGGCCAAACTTTGAAGTTGGATAACGAATATGCCTGCGTCGAGCGACGTGGATTAGCTCTGGCACAATACAAAATATAAATTCTTACCCCACCAGTCCCGTCGTCATGCAGCTGAGAGAATCCCGTAGCATTGTAGGTGGAATTAGCGTCATAGCCAGATTGCTGGTAGAAGTAATTGGTTTGCACGACCCATTAAAAAAAAAAAACTTTAGAGAACGCACTCTGTATGGAGAGTCCGTGTCCATTCCGACCTTGACCATCCCGTGAGGAAGGGTGGCGCCTTGCAATCGTCTAAACCAAGCATACGAATGAAGGGGGAAATTACCTGGAAAGACGTTCCCTCCATCGGTAGTCCCGATAAACGGCAAAACCTGCATTCGAATCATGAATACGAGATGGAGCAGTTCGTCGCGACAGAACCTACGAGACTAGCTGGGTCGTCGATGGCTAGCGCGTTGGCCAGTCCTAGGACGCAAAGCAGGATCAACATCACACAGAAAGATACCATGTTCTGGAGAACGGGCGATGAAATGCTACCACGCTAGACATACCTTACAAGACGTATGTTATCTATTCTGGCACCGACCCTGGTAGCACATGTGTACGATGCACCATAACGTCTTTCGACGTTCTGTGTACGTATGTACAACCAACACTTCTGATGTCACTGGACCAGTGCTAAATGAGAAGTCCACAGGCAGGCTGCCAGGAGGCGGCCCGCCGAGATGATAATCCTGCTGCACAATACGCTTAACGGAATCGGATTGTTCTTCGAGCACATGCATCGTGTCTTTTGTGTAAGCTAGAATGGCGCAGGAGAGTAAGCGGGGTAAGGATAGCATGCGAAGGCACGCGCAGGAAGGATAGAGGAGGATATTGGTGGATCGCGTGACCGTAAGGTCAGTGATGTGACGGTAAGCGTAGAACATGTAGCAGCGAAGAGGCAGAGGACGGCACCACCTTTTGTCTCGTTGTGTGTATCACACGTTTCGGTATCCTGCAGAATAGAGCTTTGGTTTTGTTCAGCTTTTCCTTTGAAGATACCCGTTGCGGCGGCGTAGCAGACGAGAATTCCGAGTCTTCATTTTGTGTCCCTGGATCCAGAAAGATCAGAAAAAGACTCCAGAAAAGGCATGGCCTTGTGTTCGTACCATAAATAGATGTATACTCTTTGAACTTTTCCAGCGACAATTTGGAACGTACCGCAGTGCGAGTCCAGCGTCACAGGGTACTTGCCTATTTTCCGGCCAATGAATTACTGGTGATAGTGATTTTGCAATATGTTTTTTGTACGTACATGCATGGAATAAAACATACATCCAAGGCGGCTGCACATGCTCGTTGACAGCTGCTTTACAACAGACTGGGAGAGTTTCTGGAGGAGTTCAGGAGAGCCTGGGACCGAGTTTGAGGACCCATACCCGCCGATCACCGATCAGTGTGCGTCGGGTCAACACCAACGTGGGTCTCCACGGACGCGTAAAATCCGTAGATCAAAATATTTAACTCACAAGCGGATTTAAACATGAAACCCACGTATACGTACGAAACTAATTACGTATAACGGCAATGTACAATATTCATCAACACGGCCAAAACCATATTACATATGTAACCAATTGCTATGCCCCACAGCCGGTTTGAACGACTGACCTCAGCATTACAAGTGCCGCGCTCTACCACTGAGCTAGCAGGGCCTAACATCACATATCGTTTTGTAGCCTATTTGGTGATTTCTTCTTCCGTACAGTTTCAAATTTATCCTACATATCCGCAAACAGATCATGAGAAAAACCCATTCGACGAGCTACTATAGGGAAAGTGGAAGTGATCCAAGTAAAAGACAACAGTGGCATTGAACCAGCACATACACGCCAGGTCAGAGGTAGCAGAAAATGAAAATAAGCTACGTACAGTATTCACGAGTAACGGAGAACAGGATACATATGCATAAGTTCATCACGAAAATATTGTTTCAAGAATAACTTTCAGTCTGAAGATCACATGTGGCGCGCGGATGGGGACGGTCATCCGCAAACGAGCCCGACATGAATGTAACCTCTGCAGGCGGTGCGAATCGGATGCTTTCCAGCTTGTCCAGATTTGGTATGGGATGAGTGTCGCTGTCGGGAGAAAGCGACTTCTCATGGACTAAAACCTCATGAACATCACAACTGGGTCGTATAAGGAAGAGACGCACCAAAGTGTCCTCGCGACGTGTTCCAGCGATCTTCAGCGACCCATATCGTAGCAAAAACGACACCGATGATCGTGAAATACATATTTACTTGCTGAATATAGAATGCAATGAGATACTTGGTATCCGTCGCGTTCTTCTCTGCAAGGTATACAGCGAGCTGGACGATAGCCATAAACAGTGGGAACACGAAGTTGCACACGGAAATCCAGAACAGGACCTCGATGCGTTTTGAGATGGTTTCTATGTGGTTTGGGCGGTCAGTGAGGTGGAACCAGAGACCTTTATACACGTACGTGCGCCTTGGAAGAGATGTCCTTGTCTCGATATTCTGTACAAAAATATACTGGAGCAGAATCTGGACGTAGATGGCCAATGAAAATCCGTTTTTCTTTTTCAGAAAAATGGACATACAAGTTGTTGAACAGCTGAAGCACCCATTCGATTGTGACACAAGGGAGGGTGCTGATCATCAGAGTCAGCGCACCCACAGCAGAGGAGCCGCTTCCGTCGGACGTGAGCTCCTGTAGATACTCATGGCACTTGACCATGTAGAAGATGACGTTCGCCAATCGTCCCAATTCTACGACAATAGGTATACCGAGAACGGCCAGACGGACGATCACATGTGTACGGTGTGGCGGAAAAATGTAATGCAGCCGCAAAATAAGAATAGCATCGACAAGAACAGGGATGATGGCGACAAGGCATTCATCAGCCAAGACGAGTGCACTGTCGGGTGTGGCCGTCGGATACTTCAACACGTGAATCTTGCATGTGAATTCTAAGTCAGCACCGATATGGTCAATCTGAAGCAGCAACGCACATATTCATTCAGAGCTACAATACCACAGGCGATGCCAGCCAGAATAGCGAGGACATTAAGTGTGAAGATCGGCCGCTTTCGAAGTGAACGCGAGGAGAAGAAGACCAGCACGATCAGCATCACAATCAGCACAGACCACATCGTAGCTGTAAGCAAGATGAACGTTAGGATGGGTGTCACGAGCTCTGTCCGCCATTCATCCAACAATTCTTGCATGAGCGCGGTCGGGATATCGCTGGTCGATGACGGGGAGGACATGGCTGCCTTGATGTTATCCTGCTGAAGCCTGGCAAAGACCTAGTGAATGAGCACGACATATTTATGCGAGGGCATACGCAGGCGTGATGCGCCACATCTAGATTTTCAGGGGCTCCTAGCCTCTAGCCGTGGGCGGCATCTGTACAATCAATCAACTTCATGTTCCAACTTCATCAGACTTCATCAAGACCTGTGCAAAAGGATTGCATGAGACACAATATTTCAACCTGCAGATCAGCTGTTCTTGCATGAAACATGGAAAGCTGTACGTTCTAAGCAAACTATCGTCAAGAATGAGAGGGAACCATCTGAAACGGATCCACACAGTTCATACGGAATTATGATCAGACAAAATGAAATACGCCACATCCAATCGATAAAAGTCGTGGCAATGCCTATTCGCCGCTGAAGGGGACGGAGCGCAGGCAACGGGAGATTCCATAGCGTTCAACGATAACGAAATTATGGACGATCATCGCGTAATAGATTGGTCCTCACACCGTGATAGGAAATTCTGTTATGCCATGTTGAAAATCGTAGTGCGCATATGTAGAAATACTTACCTACATGTAGCATGTCAATTCTGCACATTAAATTACACATAGAAACTAACAGCTTCAAGTCATCGATCCCTGCCACTTGCCTGCTAGTACGCAAACATGAAATCAAGACGAGCGTTTCCCTCGTCGCGACTGGTGGATTTGTATTCGTCCTTTTCCTAGAAAATTGGGAAGATTATACTCTTAGTTGACAAAAGGAAGTCATGGTGCGTTGAGCTCACCGATGGCGACATACGGTTCCAGATACGCTTTCTTTGTCCATTTATTGTCCGGTAGAATACGAAAATTAGCAGATACAGGACGATGTTCATAGACGTGATGCTAATAAGCACTCGATTTCCACGTTTATCTGTTATACAGGTTCAGGCACGGATATTCACGTGTCGCCAGATCGGCAATCGAAACGGAGCCTCACAAAGCGGCTAAAATGTGTACCGTGGTCACAATCCATCAGCGAAGGAGTTCCGGATGCGGATACGGAATAAAAGGGAAATCAATCACACGAACCTCATCGTCCGTTCGATAGACATAGGACTGTAGACACAAACGATGATAGGTGGATAATCCTGTGCAATAATAGGGATGGAACTTACACCCATGATCCCACCAAGCTGGACGGAGATATTGTAGAGACTGCTTTAATTAAGCTGATGCATTGAGAATGCGAGGATGAAACCCAAACCTAGCGGAGACCGAGCGCGTCCGCACGCTCTGGGAATTACGAGACACCCAGCCGACTTGCATGGGATGCGTGTTCGGGCAACCGACAAGAAGGGTAATGACGGCGAAATAGACCCACGCGGACGCCTCTGCGCTGAACGTGTATAGCGAGATAAGCAGAGGAAGCATCCACAACTGAAAGAACAGCCCCATCGCCGTGCGGCTGTTGACCAGCTCGCTCATAGCGGCAACAAAGATACTCATTGTGATGCCCAGGAATGTCGACGGAAGGGTAAGTAGCGTAGTCTGGATCGTCCCAAAGCCCAGGTCGCGCAACGACAACGTCAGATACGCGGTTGGCGGATTTGTGGGAACTGCGTTTTCAAACGTCAGCGGGATACAAAAGGCGAACCTATCTGTTGAAAGCACGTCTTACGTTCAAATGTAAGGCCAATCAAGTACAACGGCCACATCCGCCAATCCCCGAGCACGTCGACGATCTTCTGTATATTCAGCCCCTCACGATTGTGCATATCCGATTTCATGGGGTCATCTCGCAGGACACTGCCGTTTGGATTCTGAATCTCAGTCACGAGCGTAAGACGGTAAACAAAACCTCACCGATTGACCATGATCACTTCTTCGCGTTCAGTGAACCATCCATTCGGTGTCCACCATCTGCGCGTCTGGGTCGGACCCGCAGGCATAATCCCAATCGAAAGCAACCCGACAGCGAGAGTCAAGAGGCCTTCCACGAGAAAGAGATATTGCCACCCCGCACGCCCGTCCACGCCGCGCAGCTTAAGTAACCCAGCAGCCATGAACGCACCTGCTGCGTCCGCTAGATAATTCGACATCCAGAAAAATGCGAAGCGGACGGGCACTGGTGGCCAATCAATTGAACGGCCAACACCCTGAAACAAACACTCACACTCAGAATTGGTGTAGAAATAGCTCAGAAAGAGAACTGCGTCAGGTATGAATCCGCCTTGACATATGCCGATAAGGCACCTACGCCTGGCATAAGTTCCGTGCTTGTTGACTTCGAAAACAAGATACCTAGTAGCAAAAAATGAAGCGCGTCCTGAAAGCCAGAACTGGCTGGTTGCGACAATACTCCACATGATCATCTGGCATGGCATCCAACGATCGGCACCAACTCGCTTGGCAATGATTTGCGAAGGTAACTCTGCGAAAGTTGTAGTCAAAGATGTTTGATGCACTCGATCACGCACACAAGCCTACCCGCAAAGAGAAAAGATGCCTTGAACAGAGATTGTCCGATATTGTAGTCGTCAGTCGTGAGACCGAGGTCATTGAGAAAATTGTCCGCGTTTGCCTGGGTGATATTGCTTCGGTCAAGCTCCAAGCAGAAAAACATGAACCCCGTCCACATCAAAATGCGCGTGTCGATCTTGCGCACAATGTTCTGCAGTGTGGATTACTCTCAGAAAAATTCCACCAACGCGAGACTGTCTACACTCACACGTTCTTCTCGCCAAGTCCAGCGAGCCTTTGGGTCGAAACGGTGAGCGTTCTCATACTCTGGCGGAGGGCGATGCGTTCGCAGGCCAGTGGGATCGTCAAAAACGCTTGGTTGGGTAGCGATACTGTCCGGGTCAGGATAGACCCGTCTCCATCGTCGCAATAAGCCGATGTCGGAGCGGAGTGGTTCACCAAGTGGTGGACGCTCTTCAGACGTGGCTTCGACAGATACAATGCCACCAGGAGCTTTCACGATTGAAGAAGACCTTGTCGTCGAATCCGTATCTTTCGTAGGCATGATCGATAGTGGCATTTACTTCGCCGTGACTCTATGCCATATATACATATTCATTGAATGACGGCGTGCTAATGGTGCGAGATGAAGTCGATCTTGCAACGCTGGAGCCACCTACTGATCCAGTGGCCCAAAATCAATTGGGAAATAGCTGTTAATAAGTGCGTCGCGATATCCGAAAGGTATGAGGCCAACAAAGGTGTTGGGACATCGGCAGCAAAAGACAAGGCATGGCCCGCTATTCCGCTTGTAACAGAGTGCCAAGCATAAACCGGCTCGTTTTTTATGTCTACTCGTGAAAACATACATTACCACGACAGAAACGCCTCGTCCAGAGAGACTATCTGCCAGACTTCTTACGAGAACATGATAAGAGCGATTATCGTGCATCAGATGTTCAGAGCAAGTTGTCACCT